GATCAAACAACGTATTTTACTGGTTATGATTCTATTCCATTTTCATTAGCTGTTGGTAATTTCAATAATGACAATAATTTAGATATTGCTATTGCCAATTATGGTACTAACAACATTGGTATCCTTCTTGGTCATGGCAATGGACGTTTTGCAAGTCAACAAACATATACAACTCTTCTGAATTCAAATCCATCTTCGATTGCCGTTGGAGATTTTAACAATGATAATCAATTAGATATTGTTGTTGCCAATAATGGGACGGGTAATATAGGTATATTTTTTGGTCATGTTAATGGCACTTTTCTAGCACAAAAAGAGTATCCAATTGGCTTCAATTCTCATCCACAATATATTACTGTCGGTGATTTTAACAAAGATCATCAATTGGATATTGTCATTGCTGATTCAAATAACAATCAAGTACATATTCTTCCAGGTTATAGAAATGGAACGTTTTCAACAATAACAACATATGACACAATATCTCAGTCTAATCCATTATGGATTGCGGTGGCTGACTTTGACCATGACAATCAATCAGATATTGTTGTTGCTAACTATGGTACTAATAATGTACTTGTACTTATCGATTATTCCATAAAACCATCTGCGAAACAAAAGATCTATTATGATGGACCACCAAATGGTGTGGTCACAGTTGCTGTTAGTGATTTTAACAACGACCATATCGTTGATATAGTTTTTACCGTATATAGCGGCATAGGCATACTGACTGGTTTGGGTAACGGAACTTTTGATAGCATAGCAACGTATTCGGCTGGTCATGCAGCTTTTCTACAGTATGTCTGTGTTGGAGATTTGAATAATGACAGCAGAATGGATATTGTCGTCGCTGATAGGAGTTTTGACGGTGTGGGCGTTTTTCTTGGACATGGGAACGGGACTTTTGCTATGATGACGAGTTATTCTACGGGTATCGGTTCGAAGCCATGGTGGGTAGCTCTTGCTGATGTTAATAATGATAACCGATTGGATATTGTTTCGGCTAATACATACACTAGCAGTATAGGTATTTTTCTTGGACATGGGGATGGTAGTTTTGCTACCATGGTGAACTATTCTACTGGAATTAATTCTCAGCCATATTCAGTCGCTGTTGGTGATATCAATAATGATAAATATTTGGATATTGTTGTCACTAATTGGAAGGGCAGTGTAATTATTTTTCTTGGACACGATAGTGGAACTTTTACAATAGGATCAATACTTTCTATAGATGGTAGTCCCTTTTCGATCACTCTTGCTGATTTCAATAGTGACAATCATCTTGATATTGCTATCGCTAATATTGCTAGGGACAATGTAGGCGTTTTTCTTGGATATGGGAATGGTACGTTTGCAACACAAACAACTTATTCAACTGGTCCTGGTTCTTCCCCATACTATGTTATCGTTGCTGATTTCAACAATGATAACATAGATGACATGGCTGTCACCAATTATCAACATCAAGAAGTACTTATATTTTATGGTTATAGCAATGGAACTTTTCAACTTGAAAGAAGATATCCAACTGGAGATCGATCGAAGCCATACGCTATGACTGTCGCTGATTTCGACAATAACAAACAATTAGAAATTGTCGTTGCCCTTTTTGGTACTGGAGATATAGCAATCTTAACTGAATATTATGCTGTAGAATTTGCTCATCAAACAATATATTCAACTGGTTCTGCTTCACAACCATTTTCGGTCGCTGTTGGTGACTTTAATAATGATAATCGAACAGATATCGTCGTTGCCAATTCAGGAACTGGAAATTTAAGTATACTTCTTGGTTCGAATAATGGCACGTTTGGTATAGAAATGATGTATTCAATTGGTACTGATTCTCGTCCACAGTATGTTTTCACTTGTGACATCAATAACGATCATAAACTAGACATAGTCAGTGTTAATTCAAAAAATGATACCTTCAGTATCTTAATGGGACATGGTGATGGAACTTTTGCAGAACAACTTATCCATTCAACTGGAGATGGCTCACATCCATATGCTATGGCTTCGGGTGATTTTAACAATGATAATCGATTGGATTTTGTCATTGCCAATAAAGACAGAGATAGTATTGGGATATTTTTTAGCTTTAATTATACAACATTTCAGAGACAAGTGACCCATTCAAATATCAATGATGCAGGAGCAGTTGGAATTGTTGTTAGTGATTTTAATAATAACAATTTATTAGATATTGCTCTTGTATTTTCAGACAGTGGTAGTATAGGTATTCTTCTTGGTCATGGTGATGGTAGTTTTATTAATATGAACAGTTATTCGACTGGAAATGGTTCACAACCGCATGGTATAGCTGTAGGTGATTTTAACAGTGATGCTCAATTGGATATTGTCGTGACTAATACTGGTACTCATAATATAGGTGTTTTTCTAGGATATAATAATGGAAGTTTTGCTGCCATTATGACATATTCAACTGGAAAAGATTCTACTCCCTACGGCGTCACTGTTGCTGATTTTAACAATGATGGCCAATTGGATATCGTTGTGGCTAGTTATGATACCAACAGTATTATAGTTTTACATGGATATGGAAATGCAAGTTTTTCTATTATAAAGATATATTCAACCGGAAAAGATTCTATGCCCTACGACGTCACTGCTGGTGATTTCAATAATGATGGTCAATTAGACATTGTAGTAGCTAATTTGGGTACAAACACTGTTGGAGTTCTACTTGGATACAGCGACGGTACGTTTAGAAACCAAATGACATTTTCAACATCTGATGGTACTCGTCCGTGTTGGATAACTGTTGGTGATTTTGACAACAACAAGCAGCTCGATATTGCCACTGCTCTTTGGAATGATAACAGTATTGGTATTCTTCTTGGCTATGGAAATGGATCGTTTTCTCCTGTTGTGCGATATGCAACTGGAGACGGTAGTAATCCAAGAGGTATTAGCGTTGGTGATTTCAACAATGACAATCGATCAGATATTGTCATTCCTAGTACTGGAAGTGACAATATTATTGTACTTTTTGGGTTAGGAGATGGACGTTTTCTATTGGGAAGTGCATTATCAACTGAAATCGAATCTTCACCGAGTGCAACAGCGATTGGTGACTTTAATAATGATACTCAGTTAGATGTTGTCGTTGCCAATTATGCGTCGAAAAATATAGATATATTTCTTGGATATGACAGCGAACCTTTCGGAGCCGGACGTGGATATACTACTGGCGATGGATCCCAGCCTCATTCAGTAGCCGTTGATGATTTCAACAATGATGGTCGACTAGATATTGTCATAGCTAATTCTGGCACCGATAATATAGGAATTATGCTTGGAGATGGCAATGAAGATTTTGCAACCATAAGAACATATTCAACTGGAAATGGTTCTGCTCCATACTCTGTGGCTGTCGGTGATTTCAATAATGATCATCAACAAGATATTGTTGTCACCAATTCTGAAATCGATAATATTGCTATCTTTTTCGGTTATGGTAACGGAACGTTTGCAAGTGGAGTGACATATTCAACTGGTACTAGTTCTCGTCCATACACAGTTACTATCGGTGATTTCAATAACGATAATATATCGGATATTGCTGTCGCAAATTCCGGAACCAACAACATATTTCTACTTTATGGGTATGGGAACGGAACATTCGGAAACATAACTTCGTATCCTTTAGGCTATGGAAAGCGACCTTATTCGATTGTTGCTAAAGATCTTAATCAAGACAGTTGGTTAGACATTGTCATAGCATGTTACACTACAAACCATGTAGAAACGTTAATAAGATCGTGCTAATATTGTTGTTCTATATATTTTCTGTATGCTTTATTCTTGCTATTAACTACTTAGAAATGTTAACAAAAAATCCGACGTAGGATATCTTACGTTAGGATTCGAGTGTTTTCTAAATAGATTCGCCCAGCAGCTGACTACAACTAGAACTCTATGAGCTCTATCCGATGCACTAGCTACTTTTCAGAAATGACCCTTTCATCATACAGAAAAACTCTAATTACTGCAAAAAACACGAAAAAAGCTTGAAATTTGAGACAAATCCATTACGATTCGTTCCTGAGCTGGTTCTAACGAAAACACATTTTTGCAGTAATTCGGGTTCTGCTGTATGATGAATGGCTGTTTCAGAAACATGGCTAGTGCATCGGATAGAGCTCATCGAGTTCTACTTGGCATCAAAGGAATCTCAGTTGTAGCCAGCTGCTGGGAGAAGCCATTCAGAAAATACTCGAATCCTGACCTAAGATATTCTACATAGGATCAAAAAAATTGTTTTCACTCTCTTTCAAGAAATCTTATCATTCGAATATATGAGATACAACGTGTATTGATGCTCCTTTTATGTACATGTATATGTATTCCCGTGCTTGTCTTTCTTTTTTTTCTTTTCATTGTTCTTTTTTTCATATAGATTATCAATTTAATCGCCTTATACATATGTGAGTGATATATTAACTTTGCCGATGAGATTCTTACAGTGGAGGTACTTGTATTGTAACCGAGCTAGACATGACATTTTAGCATCAAATGAAAGCTCTCACTGCCAAACTAACAAGGTTAAAATATTAGCGGCCCTTGATTTACCTAGAGGAAGATATTCAATTTTTACGGTACTGATGATTGAGTATATAGGAACCTTAGAATTATTTACATTACTTTTTTATGCAATTAACTGAGTGTTTCAATAGTAGACTTCGAGAATCTTTCCGAGATTTATCTATAGTATTAAGATCATGTTGGTTTTTATCTCTTCTAAAAATTAAATAGTATTGAAATGAAAAGTTATGCGATATATTTAAAAAATGACTTATGCATATAATATTGGAATTTGAAGAGCATTGATGCATCACTTGGTGGTCTATTGACCGTTTCTTTGCAATTGGTGTTAAGAAATCATCAAGAAATATATTATCCAAGAATTATTCTCTTTCAATCTTTGCTGTATCTACCAAGTAGCGCACTTTATTCCTTTAAAGTAAACCATGAATTTATTGAACATCGCTAAACATCTTCTTGATTTGGCTCAAACTGAATTTGGATATGAAAATTCTGCAATGACTACTGGTGAAATTTTTATTGTAGAACGATTATTCGAAGTTTTGAAGTCATTTAAAGATAGCTACTTCAGTGAGCTGTACACTTATGATTCTCTCGAATTCGAAGATGAATATGATGAAACAACTGAAGAAGAAGACAACAGTGGTGAAACGATTGATGAAGCAAAGAGCGACGATGAAATGGATGATTACAATGAAAATGAACATTCTGATCTGAGAAATCGTTTTACATTAGATGAAATGAAAAAAATAATCGAATGTGTTGATCAACATCCAAATGCTAGATTTGCAACTCTTTCCCATCGTTTTAAAAAGGTCAAACACAGGAATTCTATTACAAGATTTAGAGAATATATCGAAAATAATGGGACAATAATAGAAAAATTAAAACAAATTAAAGAATTTATGTTAAACGAATTTTATCTACAAAGAACAATTGAAAAAGCAGCCGTTCATGATACTGACCTTGAACTTTATGCAATTCAAAAAGCAAGAGAATTGGATTGGGACACATTCAAGGCAAGCAAACAGTTTCTCAATACTTTCAAGAAAGAAAACAGAATATCATCAAGAAGGTATAATAAAATTATTACTCGAACTATATCAAATAGTAAAATCTGCAGTTTAGATGGTAATTTTTGTTTTTCGACTTTAAATTCATATGTCTTAATATAATATACATTAATATTTTAGATGCCCCAAAATTGGATTGAAAGTAAAAGAACTATAATATCAAAGTATACTACTCATCAAATTTTAAACAGTGATCACTGTTCATTTCAACAAGAATATGTCTCGCTAAGAACTCTTTCTTTTAGTGGTGAACGAACAACAGAAGTAGTTGTTAAAAAGAAACATCACTTAACACACTCTTATACAGTACAGCCTGTCACATCAGCTGATGGCTGTTTATTAGATAAATTCTTTCTCATCCTTCAAGAGAAAGGAAATGAATTCGGTAAAAGAGTGCAAAAAGATTTAATTGTACCACCAAATGTTGTAGTAGGAGCTTCAAAATCAGGAAAAAGCAGTGGTGAAAAACATCCCACTTTTTTAAATGAAGTTCTGCACCCTTTGATTGGGGAAAAATATTCTTCTTTTTCTTGATTCTTGGAAAACTCAAGCTGATCTAATAAAATTTAGAGCGGTATTTCCTAATCAAGACAGTCAATTATTGATTTTTCCTAAAGGATCAACCGGTTATATTCAACCACAAGATCTTTCTTTATTTCGCTCATGACGATTTATTCGTAAAAAGATTGAGCATTATGTTCATATCAATCAAACAGAAATGACTATAAGTGATCGTCAATATTTCATCAACATTCATTCTATTATTCACAATCAATTATCAGCTCCACAATTTAAGAATTTCATTAAGAATGGATTTATACAAGCTCGCATAACAAATGAAAGAATTGGACAAATTGAAAAACCAAAAGATGTTTGCTTCAAATTTTATGATCTGTATTGTTCAATTAACAATTGTAGTGGACGAACACTATTAAAATGTGCTTGGTGTGAAAAAACTCTTTGTTACTATCATTTGATTGAAGGTCTACATCTACACCTATAGTACATTTAATAAAATAATATATTGTGATCTATTGTTTTCAGTTGAAATAAAAACGAAACTATTGATGATTTTCATAAATCCTAGCTGATGTTTATCTATAATGATACTATTTAATTTTTGGAAGAGATTAAAACCGATGTGATCTTAATACTATAGATAAATCTCAGAAAGATTCTCGAAGTCTACTATTGAAACACTCAGTTAATTGCATAAAAAAATAATGTAAATAATTCTAAGGTTCCTATAAACTCAATCATCAGTACCGTAAAAATTGAATATCTTCCTCTAGGTAAATCAAGGGCCGCTAATATTTTAACCTTGTTAGTTTGGCAGTGAGAGCTTTCATTTGATGTTAAAATGTCATGTCTAGCTCGGTTACAATACAAGTACCTCCATTGTGAGAACGATTCTGGATGAGAACTAATTTAGTTACTGAGACCCAGATTGCATCCGAGCCTTGATCTTTGACGAAGGACATGGTCATTGGCACGAAATACTTTCAAAAGTAACGTTAAAACCAATATCTTCTCTCATATGTAGAATATACGTTTGAAGCTTGGTTCCAACAGGATCAAAGGTGTTTAGCAGCATATTATTGCTTGTGAAGCCTCAATATTTTATCTATCTTGCACAATGATGAGAAAAAAACAAATTAAGCCCTTGAATAGTACACAGTTTTTGCAAACTTCGATTTTTTTCTTTCTCTCCGTCGATGAAGCTGCTCGAGCGGTAAATGAGAGAACAAGCAAAACAACGATAATATAGATATTTAAAAAAAGATATCTCAATAACATATGATCATGTGCTATTTTACGTAAATGGATGAATGCACACAAGCCAAACTTATTTTTTCGATGTGTCCATAAACAACATAATGCTTTCATTTTTTTTACATAGAATAACTTCGACTCTTTGTATCATTATTCTGCTCGTAAGCACAAAAGATTTCGCAAGAATACAATGAGCAAGCATAAGTTTTTTTGAAATTATATTCTCTTCAGAAGACGTTTTTGCATTATTAGTATCCAGCAGATTTTTCTAGGACCATTAGATTAGAATAATCACAAAAAGAGTCGTGCTCTTGTTGAGATTTGGTCGAAATATCGAATTTTTAGTAAATTTTTCCTATAGGACGTCAGTTTTCGAGTAAAATCATATCTTCAAATTTTGATCTAAAAGTCTGTCAACATGAAGGTTTCGCTATGACTAGGTCATATATAGTTTTTTCACTTTTAGACATTATATCTTTGAAATATAAAAGTTTTCAAAAAAGGCACTATTATATAGATATATACCATGTAAAGCATTAATATTTGAAAGATTCATATATCAGCGACGAAATGCTCAAGAATGATGAAACTTTATACATGAGCTAGTCATAGCACGACCTTCATGTTGACAACGTTTTAGATCAAAATTAGAAGATATAATTTTACTCGAAAACTGATGTCCTGTAGAAAAAAATCCATTAAAAATTCGATATCTCGGTATTATAATCTAATGGTCCTCTATGCATGGGCATAGCATAAATGTAAAGAGAGTGGATCACTTGGGAGTGTTTCCTCGTAAGTAGCAGGAACAAAAAAGTGAAAAATCTAATCATGTAAAGATTTTTTTGGTTCCGCCGATAACGATGGTGATTTAATAAACATCTGTTTTAGATGTTTCATCGTCCAGACTTACAATCAACATTTCATCCTTTTCGTTCGAAACATGTGCTCGGTATCCGTCGCGAAGATCAATCACCATGGGAACGTCGTGCTCCATTAGCGCCTGAACATGTTCGGACACTTGTAGAAAATCATAAGATAAAAGTTCTTATTCAACCATCAAATCGTCGTGTTTTTCCAATATCAGCATATGTTGATGCAGGTGCTATTGTTCAAGAAGACTTAAGTAAAGCATCAGTTATAATTGGTGTTAAACAAGTTCCTGTTGATTTATTATTACCCAATAAAATTTATGCCATCTTTTCACATACGCATAAAGCACAAATAGATAATATGCCATTATTAGATGCATGCTTAGAAAAAAACATAACATTAATTGATTATGAAAAACTTGTTGATGAAAAAGGTGTTCGTTTAGTTGCATTTGGAAAATATGCTGGAGTTGTTGGAATGATTAATATTTTACACGGACTTGGTTTAAGATTTCTTGCACTTGGTCATCACACACCATTTATGGTAAATATAAATAAAAGAAATAGTTTTTTTTGTTTCATCAAAATGAAATTCTATTTTATGTTTAGCATATTGCTCTTGCGCATAATTATCGAAATATTGAACACGCTCGAACGGCTATTCGAGATGCTGGACATGATATTGGTCGGGATCTTATGCCAAAATCTATTGGTCCAATAGTTTTTGTTTTTACTGGAGCAGGAAATGTTTCTCAAGTAAAGAAAAATCTTTTAAATATAAAATGGTGGAAAAAAGTATAACAATGTATTTTTGATGTTTTTTTCTGCAATGTTTAGTATCTAGCTGAAATCCAGAATTTAAATCTTAGTAGTTAATCGAGTTTTCTATCGAATACATTCTATACTAGGTGAAGTATGATGGTAAATTTTCCACCAAAAAAAAAACGGACACGATAGTTTTCAAGTCTTACAAAACTTTATCAGAGCTAATTTTTAGCAATACCATTTTAAAGAGCACAAAATTATGCATGAAATAAGGGATCATTGCATTTTCTACGACCTTCTCTAAAAAAGCTAAAATTCGCACAAAAACCCATAAAAAAAGCATTTTTTTTAGTTGGTTTTTGTGAGACTTTTAACTTTTTAAGAAAAGATTATAGAAGACGCGGTTATTGCTCATTTTGTTCAGATTTTTGTGATCCTTAAAGGAACCTTCTCTTTCCGAGATTCCTGAAGAACCGCTCATCAGAAATATTTAAAATTTTCAAAGTAAATAGATCTCATTGAGTAGAGCTAAAGTTGTCATAGACTTCAAATTCTCAAATATGTCTTTCTAGGAAATATCTGAGTTACAAAAGTTAAAAATCGCCTTGCTCTCTCAGACATAATACGCCAGATAGAGCTAGAAATTTCTTTTGACAGATACTAGACATTGTTTGGGGTTAGAGTCTATCGAGCCTAAGAACTCTTCGACCCGGAACTAGTGGCAGAACTCTTCCCAACCCACCTCATCACCCCTGACTTCGCCACTCCTGGGAACTCGACGCGGTCGATTAAAATTTTGGATTCGAATCTGATTAATTAATATTCTGTGGCAAGAGCCCATCAGACCCAAACATTTCTGGACCCGGATCCGACCAACTCAAAATTTTTAGACTCAAACTTAATCCGGACTTGATGGGTTCTATTTGAGATGTCTATTTTTTTTAGGGGGTTCTTTTTATCTCTTTCCATTCGAATAGAAAGAACAAAATATGGACCGTACCTTCAAAAACATATGTTGTGTTTTTTACTAAAGCTTTTTATTATAAAATCTGTCAAAAATCAATGGTGAAATAAGTTTCAAAAATAAAAAAGGCACCCCAAACTGTGCCCAGTATCTGTAAAAAAGTTTCAATTCAATTATCGAACATACTATGTATGAGAAACAAAGCGATTCTGTACTTTTTTCCTGTAAAAAAATTGATTTCGAGAAAAACGAAAAATAAACTTTCCTGTATGTATCAGGATTCTTTTCTTCAACTAAAGCGATCGAAAATTGTCTCCGTTGAGCGGTGTTAGAGGTCCATGACCTCTTCTCTCAGTACTTTTGGAATGAGAAATAATCATTACCATTAGGAGATTTTACATGCAAAGAATAGCTGTAGCACAAGTTTTTCTGCTAGTGATTTCGAGAGTTGAGTTTAATAAAAATACTCACTAAACAACGGAAAACTCTCATGCATCCGACATTTGACAGAGGACACTTCGAAGTTATATTAGTGATTACAAATAAAAAAAATTGATTTTAACATCAAGAAAGGAGATTCCCTTAATATAGCATTGTTAAAAAATGTATGACTACGGAATGTTTCTAAGTACCGAACTGTTCATGAGTCAGAACTGTGTGCACCATATAGGTTCTCATTAGCTATGAATACTCTGAAAAGAGTTCCGACCAATAGCTTATAACTGCTGAGATTCTGTATTGTTTAGCAGGATGCCATAATCCCCTCAGGAAAACTGAGTTTCGATTTTTGGCTTGAAAATTTGCATAGAGACAGATCTTAATGACAATAGTTTATTGCAAAAGTTTCAGATCTTTTAGTTACTTCTATCCTAAGATATGGCTATCGTAACAGCATATCTTTTACGCCGTTCATATACAACAGCAAACTCTGATATTCTCATTTCGTTCTTTCGTTAGATAAAGTCTTCTCAGATCTAAAAACTACTATGTTCGGTTTTTATAGAAACCTCCATTAGCTACTAAAGTCATTATCTGGATTTGAGCTAATTACTTAAAATGATAGAAAAAAAAAGTCAAAAATACATTCTTGTTCAATTTTCTTCCATCACCTTAGCTTAATTTATTTAACTTAGGGTGCTCAAGAAGTTTTTCGTGAATTACCAATTGAATATGTCGATATAAAAACTCTTCCAGAAGTTGCTCAACATGGTGGTAAATAGGTTTTTTTATAATACCAATAACAAACTAATTCGTTTATCCTTTTATAAAGCGACTAATAAAGTGTATGGATGTGTTATTGACCGTGAAGATAATTTAATTAATAAAGAAACAGGAAAATATGATGAAGAAGAATATTTAAAATATCCTGAAAGATATACATCAACATTTAGTACACAAGTTAGTTATTTGAATAAACACTTGAATTTAATTTTTTTTCTAGTAAATAGAAATTTTATTCAGAACATTACATTTAAGGGTAAAAAGAATATGTGCATCATTAAAAAAAGCTGTTAGCGCAATTCCTGCGAGATTAAAATGTGAAACACGATATAGCTGTTGTTATTAGTCACACGAATATGGTTTTCTTCGATATACCTTGACACCTATTTATCCATCATTTTTTATTTATTCCTCTAGAACTATAGATCTATGATGGTCTTTGGAGCCCATATATCACGGTTCGGGATGGGTATGGGTTTCTCTGTCACGGTCTGTGAGGAGAGTCGTGGAATGAATCCATATTTCTACTCTATACATTTCAACACTCCTTTCAGATTGTGTTTTACAAAATGTACTGCTAAATATTTATATGATTTGCGTCATACTTGTTGTTTTATTTTATGTTAATTCAATTTTAATAGTATAAATTTCTATAGATTGCTCCATATGCAACATGTATCATCAATGGAATTTATTGGGAACCATCTCATCCAAAATTACTTCATGTTGCTGATGCAAATCAATTAGTAACTCCACCGCGAGAATGGATACAAAATGATGCAGAACCTGGTTGTCCATCATTGCCTCATCGACTTTTAGCTATTTGTGATGTAACAGCTGATAAAGGTGGCAGTATTGAATTCGTTCAAGATACAACAAGTATTGATCATCCATTTTTATTGTATAATCCTAAAACAGATACATCTGTGGAAAGGTAAATGAAAAAGGTCATTCAAATAAATGAGAAAAACAAAACAATTTCTTGTAAATTAGTTTTTATGGTCCTGGTATATTAATTTGTTCGATTGATAATATGCCAACACAATTACCATTCGAAGCCACTTCGTTTTTTGGTTCACAATTACTTCCATTAATACCACAAATGCTTCAATTAAATGCTAAAAAAGATTTTCAAACACAAACTAGTGTATCTCATGTTGTTCGAAATGTAAGCTAATTAAAAATTTGCATATAAAAGAAAAATTCTCAAGAAACGAAATTGAAGTATATGACAAAAATAAAATGAACGACTATCAAATAGAAAGTCATCATTTAGTAAAATGAACACTGATTTTGTTTCTTCTACGAAGTCAATAGGATGAGAATAATTGTTAAAACTTATGCATTTGCAATTCATTTATTCTATGTTTGTCGAGATTAGAAATGTACAAATATTGCCATGGTTTCCAGATATTGATGTTGATATGGGCGAGTGACTCAAGTCAACAGAAAGAAGACTAATAATGTTGCGTCAGCTTACAAGGAAATCTCCTCAGCTGCCTCCTTCCAATCTCCGTGATTTTTTTGCTGTTTGATACTACATCGTGTTTCAATGAAAAATCAAAAGGATTTGAGTTTCTATTGAAATTAAATTTGAATACACTATCGAATTTATAATATGTCTATTTTCTGGAGGCTCCCCGATTCTCAGGAAACTCGTATTGTTGAATTCTATTCTGAACCTTTGAATATACACAGAACTCAACGTGACCGGCTGCCATGAAAAAATGTACAAGTTTTGAATAAAGTCTCTTCAAGATATGAGACTTTGAAGATATAGATCTTTCTATTTGGATAGTATATGCAACATGCATTTTTTGAATGGTTCACATCTCGAAGATATTTTGTTCAAAACTTCTGAAGTTTTTTATGGAATAAAGTCCAGTTGAATTTTTTTATGTGTGCAAAGTTTCAGATCAAAATTCGAAAACTCGGGATCTCTAGAAAAACCTTAATAGCTTGGTCAAATCTCAATAGGAACCCAAAATCCTTGTAGCATTTCTATTAGAACGCTGTGTAGTATTTAAAGGCAGAATAATCATTGAAACCAGAAGCAGCAACTGAAGAGGTTCCATTGTTTGTCTATACTTGCCCAGCTTTGACGCCTGTTTTGAAGAACTCTAGAAGTTTATAGTCAATTCAAGTTCTTCACGAGATCTTAGGTCGAATTTGATCGAATTTCACTATTCTCTCGAAATAGAGATCTTTCGTATCCTCATCTTTAATTTATATCAATGTCAAACGAAATCGATAGTGCTATATTTCTAATCGAGATGATATCTTAGATCAAAATATGGATTCATGAACTTTAATTAATATGATTTGACTTTTACAAAAAAATGATTTTTTTTTATTGTATTTAGGCAGTTATAACAGCAAATGGTCAATTGACACCCAACTATGCTTATATATCAAAACTACGAAAACGGCGAGGGTACATAAAATAGAAATTGAAATCTAATGTGATCATCTATATATATTCTTATAATTTTCTACTTTTTTTCAGATTAAAAGAAATGAAGGCATCAAGTGGAAAACGTATACTTATATTAGGTGCTGGTTTTGCTAGTGGTCCTGTTGTTGAATATTTAACACGTGATGAACAAGTTCATGTAACAGTTGTCAGTTCAAGTCGACAAGAAGTAGATCGTTTTGCTTCAACAAATTCTCAAACAACATCAATATTACTCGATGTAACACGTCGTAAAAGTGAACTTGATAAATTAATAAAAGATCATGATTGTGTTGTTTCACTTTTACCATTTAATATTTATCCTGATATTGCTTCACTATGCATAAAACATCGTCGTCATGTGGTAACAGCAAGTTGTGCATCACCAGCAACAAAAGCTTTACATGATGAGTATGTAAAAATAACCTTAATCTCGATATGATTTAAGTATTCTATTTTAGAGCACTCGCAGCTGGCATAACCATAATAAATGAAGTTGGATTAGATCCAGGTATTGATCATATGCTTGCAATGGAATTATTTGAAATTATTCGTGATAATGGTGGTTGTATAGATTCTTATGTATCATATTGTGGTGATTTACCAGCTCCAGAACATTCTGATAATCCTTTAAGATATAAATTTTGGTTAAAAGAAATTCGTATTTTGATTTTATAAAAGTGATTTTTTTTTCTTTACATTCTAGTCAGTCACCTCGTGGTGTTCTTACAGCTTTACTTAAACCAGCTAAATATTTAATGAAAAACAAAGTAAAGAAAATGAACATATTTGGTATTTCAGGCAAAACGAGACATATCCATCTTTCATTTGACTTTAATTCTTTAGGGTGTGAGTGCCGGTACCCACATTCGCACTCACCTTTCGTACTTCGTCACAGCGCTAACGAAAATTAAATTGACTTTTTTTTGAAATTTAAGCATGCTGAGAAAAAACCTTTGGTTACAGATTTTTTGGTCTCAGGAGAATGTATTGCAGTAAAATCTCCTATAGCGGACGCCTCCGTCTAGTGGACACTTTCGAAAAGTCTGATAGTTGTCTACTATCGAGCAGTTATACTTTATTTAGTTTTGCCTCAATTCAGAGTTTTTTTAAAATTAAAATGTATGAAGCGAGAGTCAAATGTCCTTTTTTTGTGTCACGTCGCTAACGCTAGTTCTTTTTTTACTGATATCTCCATTGTACAAATGTCTCTGGTGCTAATTTTTTTTCGGAATATCTTGAGTAATCTCACATGTATGTGATATATAAAAGTTAGTTCTAGAAAAGTTCATTATTCCGAGATACACATGTTTTACTGTTGCAAAATCATATCGCTAATGAACGATATTTACCCATATTATAAAATAACTTTTTCCATGGTATTTAAATTAGATTATTCAATTTGAAGCTAATGGTGGTATTATAAAAAATGGATGTACAACACCAAATTTTCTTCCAGGTTTTAATCTTGAATGTTATCCAAATCAAGATAGTACAAAGTATATTGATTCGTTTCAGCTTGATACAGCACACACAATATTTCGAGGAACTTTAAGATATAAAGTAAATTACAACGAAAGAAAAAACACAAAAGATAAAATTGAATATGTTGTTTAAGGGTTTTTGTTCAAATATCCTTGGATTAATTCGTCTTGGTTTACTTAGTGATAAACCACATCCAAGTTTACAATCTACTGATAATCTTACATGGAAAGAATTTATGTGTGATTTATTACATTTACAACGTGATACATCAGTAAGCACACTTCGAGATGCTATTCTTCAACGATTAAAAAATGAAAGTCAATTAGAAACTATTGATCAGTAAAACAAAAAATCTTGTTATTTTTCATTTAAAAAAATTCTTTTAAATATTTTTAATTTAGACTTGGTCTTCTCTCAGAAGACATTCTTGTTGAAACATGTTCAAATCCACTTGATACATTAAGTAATTGGTTAGCTAAACGTTTATCTTATGAACCCAATGAACGTGATATTTTTATTCTTCATCATGAAGTTGGTGTTACATGGCCATCGATATCACGAGAAATAAGCGAATTAAAAATAATAGAAATGGTTGTTTATGGTGATCAAAAATATTCTGCTATGGCAAAAATAGTTGGTTTACCAACTGCCATTGTTACTCGAATGCTTGTTGACAGTATGTTGAATTTTGTTTTTTTTTTTCAAGTAATCATTTAAATGAAATTTTTCTGTTTAGATGAAATTTCTGATCGCGGCGTTGTTGTACCACTTAATCGTATAATTTATCAGTCAATTTTACATGAACTTAAATGTGAAGGAATTTCGTGGACTGAAAAAAATTAAAAAATAATTCATTAGCTTCTAAGAAGTTTTAATGTGACACGGAGGGTGCGGGTGTGGCTGTGGGTGTGAATGTCGGGTATTTGTGAATGTTGGTGTGGGTGTGAGTGGATGTTAGTGAAGAGAAGATCGCTCCCGCACCTGCATCTATGACTGTAAATGGGTAAATAAATGACGAATGGTTTGAAATTCAGCAATTTTGCATTTAGTATAAAGCAAAGAGTTCGCCTATTTTGTGATATTTGTTCTTATTTTTCTAAGAGGTACGAAGACTTTGGAATCATCTCGTACAAGATTTATTATTCTATTCAGAGTATACTTTTCCTATAAAATTGTGTTTGTTTGAAGAGCCTTTTTGGTAAATCTGATTAAACGGCAGAATTAGGAACGAGTCGAAAACAAAACGAAATTCTAGTGGCTCATCTTATCCCAGTTCTCTGCCGTCGACAGTAACGTATTTTTCAATAAATGATACATAGATCGACGCAAAAATGTTCATTCTATTTTGTAAACTAAAAGCTACCTTTATAAGACGCCGGCAACTTGAGTTATGAAGAAAATTTGGAGAATGATCTTCTTCATGGAAGAATTGATAATAAACGTTGTACGACATAATTCATAAAAAATTATATCAACGAACTGTTTGCCGTATTCTTCTGCTCTTACAATTATCGTTGTGACAGCAAAATATAATAGTGACATTTAACACAGAATACTCAAGAAGAGAAAGAGATCAGAAGAAAAAAGAAAGTCGTAGTATATATTAATGTTCGCTTGAAGACACATCGCACACAAGATGTTTGTCATTCCAATAGACTTCTGCGATTATACAATAAATCGAAGGTGAAGAAGTAATATGGATTTAGTTTGGTTGGCCACTAAGATGCTACTCGATCTATTTGAATTTCTAACTACTACTCACCTAATTCGTGCATTTTATGATCTCAACTTGCGCTTTGATTCTCTTACTTATAACAATTTTCAAATTTCGTCAATACTCAAACTAGCTTTTGATACAATCAGTCAGCTACATCTTTGACTGTTAGTCGATCGAATAACGTCACTTGGTCTCTCGGACGGTGATGATACTTCTGAATAAATCGGCCAATTCTACGAATATAGTTTTACTTTAAACCACTTCACTAATTTGCGATCACTTTCATTACAATCCATTTACTCTGTGTATCTAATGAAAAAAATTAATGTTGAACTGGTCTCATCTACTATATCTCACTCATCTGATTTTGGATGACTGCGCTATTTCAATTGGCTTTGGCGAGTGCCTCCCGATTATAAACAGTATCTAGAGTTTACCTCGACTCACTCATTGTTACTTATACATACATCAAATGTCAGAATATGAGGATCCTGATACCATTAATGTACCAACAGTGCTTTCGTTCACTAGTGAATATTGTCTATCTTAGAGTGGACGAGAGTTGCTTCTGATCAGGTGGCTGATTTGTTCAAAAACATGCCAAGCCTTCGAAATGCCCTGTTGTCGCCTAGTGAAGTTTCTTTGAAATGTTATATCGATCAGTCGTCAGTTTTTACATCGATGGTGGCATTAAATATAAGGTCTTCCGATGTTTTAAATGATCTTTTATCAATGATTCCCAATTAAAGTACATTGAAGTTGCATAGCCCATATTCGTACATCAATGCACAAGTATAATTATGTTTGTGTCTATACTTTATCGTATGTGCAGAACGTTTTTTATTTTGACTCTTCCATTCTGTCGAAATCAAATTCTTCTCGAAATTTTGACTATCAATCATATAACAGTGTGAATCAACTTCGTTACTGTGCTGATTCCTTGAAATACTCAATTTCAGTTTTTAAATATTAAAAATCTTCTGATAGACTTTCTCATCAGTGATCATTTTCGGTCTATGGTTCTGCGACTTGATCAATTGACTTTCTTGTATCTATCCACATATGTTTGGGATGAGAAGTGTCAAGATCAATTGGAGGTTTCAATTAATAGAGCGTCTCGTCTATCTAAATTACACACAGCGGCGAAAATACGAACGAAGCTTCCAATACCATCATTCAAAATGAAGAATGTGTCTATATCTGAACTAATTTTGATTAATTGTTTAGTATACACCAGTGAGGAATGCCTTCAACTGAGCTGTTCATCACTTGGCATTCAGTGTTCAGTACTATATGTCAAGGTCGAAAATCGAACATCCATACTTGATCTTGTGGACAAAATGATCAATCTTCGAACGTTGAATGTTCACTCTGTAGATGACGAACTTATGTCTATGTCATTCCAAGACCGACTGTTGGTCACCGAAGACAAACTTGTTCAATGGTTGCAACAGAAAATACAATCCACGCGCCCAGCTATAAGAATCTCTCGTCGGAATGATTTTATTATTGGATGATGGATTCTCTAACATAGAAAAACGTTTGTGGATCGAATGGCCATATCATCACATTTATCCAGACATAACAATTCAATGTTTCTTCTATTGATTAACACCCAAGCAGACTTTTTCAAAATAGTCTATCTGAAAAACCTCTTTTTTGTCTTTGTTCGATGCGTTTCATCATAACGTATAGTCAGGTTAAAGTAAAATCATCTTCGTTAGTCTTTTCTCAAGTCGATCAATATCGTCTAACTGAGATTTCACAATTCTATATGGGTTTTTGATGATTAGCCATTCTCTTGCTTTCGAGACTCACAACGAGTGTAGGTATGAGTGGGGTGAATGTGTAGTTGTTGGTTTTGAGTGTCAATGTTGGTGTTCTCGAAAAAAACAAGAAAAAACCCCACACCGACATAAAAGTAAGAAGTAATACATTAAAAAGTCAAGTGGTTTATTAAATTTTTTATTTGAATAATTCTTGGCAAGTGTAAACTGACATACGTTACCAATTTGTTCTTTTAATCTATGAGCGATCCGTTTGTGAATATTTTACAGAAATTATGAAAATTACGATCGAAGTATCGGCTTATTTTTCTTCTAGACATACATTTTTTAGTAACCATGGAGATGGTAAAAGGTTCGTTTCTTGCTTCTATCCGATCACTTGTCTTTTACAAGAATCATCGAAACATATGAAAGAATATGAATATTCTTAACCATATTCACAATTGTATCATAATAGTGACAAGTGATTTTAACTAACTCATGAACCACACGGATTAATCTGGCTCTCTTACTCAGCATGTCGTGATGGAATCAATTGTCGAAATAAAACATCGGAACATGGATGCAAGTATTCTTATAATGAATGAGTCAAAAGCAATAAAGATAAAAAAGAGGTTATTCTTGATGGTTTTCATGAAAAAGAAATAGCAGTGCTTTTCCATCTACTTCGATAGAACATCTCATAGATTATTATCAAAATCTCATTTGAACATTCCCTCTAATAGAAGCAGAACCGATGATCAATGAATTCCTTGTTGTTATGGAAAAGATTGTCATGACAAACATGATCGTCAACAGTGTTCAAAATACCAACACTCTGATGATCGAGGAAGTTCGAATCACGATAAGATACTATGTAAATTAAGTAAAAAGTATCATGACACTGGTCCTCATCATCATTTGAAATATTCACATCTGAATATGTATACATAGAGAATTTTCATCCTCCAAACAATGAGTCTTGATATCAATGAATTTGAAGATTTTTGTATCGAAATAAACTTGAATATGCACTTCGGTGTAATGGCTAGAAAAGATTATTTTCATCCCCTTTGTGTGTTTATATAATAAATGACATCTTCTTTTGATTATTCTCTTTAGTTCAACGTTCTCTGTCACGTTTATACAAAAAAATACATATTCAATGATTCTTGTTTCCAAAACTCTCCAAAGAAATTAAATCTCGAATGAATCTAAAATTTCTAATTGTTCATTTGCAATATCTGTCACATTTTACTCTATGAATATGAAAGCATATAACTATCGATGTGAACATCGAAACGATTATTTCGATATATCTCGTTCCATGTTTACTCTTGAAGTAGTCACAATGTTTGGTGAATTGAGCTTTTGTAGCCTCATTCGATAGCCAAAAACATTGCGTCAATACCTAATTTATTTTTATAGAAAGAAAACTCAAAGAAATATTTAAGCTAGCGGTGATATAGAAGTACGGACGACTTTCATCATCTGAAAGATACTTTTCTCGACTTCAACGAATCTCGTTCGATACTTACACGAGTTTCACACTAACCAACAACAACCAAGAGTAACTACAGTTTTTCTTTTTGCAAGTAAAGAAAATGTTAATCTAAAATTTGTATCCTTAGAGACAAATACGAGAGAAGTATTTAATTAATCGTTTTTAACAGATAGCGTAGATTTTCGATAATGATTCGTTCATCCGCGATACTATGCTTAATTCTAATAGACACAGCACAACATCTTCTTCGTCTGTTCTATGAGAGAACAGAAAAAAGATGGCAATCGTTCGAGTTACTAAGTACTACTAGAAATGACAAGCAGTCGTAGTATTGACGTGTCATTTCCAAGCAAATGTAATATATACAAGTTGACAGAAACATAACTGCGTCATGAACACTACTCAATAGCATAGTGTTTGCTGTTCTTCATTTTGATGCCAAGTTATACAATCAGAAACTATACTTATAGGACATATTCTAAATGTGTATATTTCGATTGTAGAAAAATACTTTTAACCATGTCTTCTACGAGTAGCTCATCGCTTCTCACAATATCAATCGAGGTTATTTATCATATTTTTGATCTACTCGAATTTTGTACTATTATCATTTCACTACGCAATGTGTGCACGAGACACTGAATGATAGAATAGATAATTACCAGCGATGCAATGTATAGTAAAACTCTACTATTGAATTCTTGAACCACACTTCCACATATACTTCCTAGAAGACTTCATTACATCACTAGAATTCTTACGACTGTTTCGACTTGAAGCGTAACATTTTCGATGTTTTCTGATTTCCCAAAGATGTCAAGCTCATCTTTGCTGGTAGGATGAGCCTACGATGATA